TCACCCAAGAGATGTTCATAAAAAATACGAAGAATTATTTGGTCAGAAGTTAGAAATATTATCTTATGAAGAAGATGACTCATTAAATTCTATTGAGTATCAACTTATAAATTTGCCAAAAACTCTGTAGCATAATCCTACTGAATTAATGAAAGTCCTAAGCAATTCGGATAAGCCTGAATATTTTGAAACTCAGATTATATAGAGTATTATTAAATTCAAATGGTAGTAGTACACTCTTGCCTACTACAAGACTTAATTTTACGTCTATCTGATATTTTTGACAACTTTTTTGATCGATATTTTATACACCACTTACTCTTTAAAGAGCTACAACGATTAAGTTAAATTGAAAGTAGATGATTAATTGGATCTTAAGTTACAGGATTATTTGCCAAATATCTACGTTTAAATTTCAATGAAAACTATATGCGGCTTAGTGTTAATTTATTTTCTGATTCATGAAATAAGGCAGTTAAGAATTCAGAGGGGTAATTACTTTTAAGATATTTGGAATTACTTTGACTTTTCTCATATTGTTATCTTCATATGTTTTTGTATTCTTGAATTCACAAATGAAGATTCTGATTTACTAATCTTGAATAAGGTTCTATTAATAATTTTGTCATTCATGAAACTTTTCTATTTTTTGAGGATTTACGATGGCTTCAGTTTCCTTGTTTAAATGATGGCTGGAGTCTTTAAAGACCTAAAATATTTTATTAGTTTCTTCCTGATTTTCATAACATTATTCGGCATGATTTTCCTAGTTTTGTTCAAGGCTGATTCAATAGATGAATACAATGGTGTAAATGGAATAGCATATTTCCTGATGGCTTTTAGAATATCATCTGGAGATTTTTAATTAGATGATTATCAGTAATAAGAAAATACACTAGTTATTTTCTCTTGGATTTTGTGGATATTTGCTGTTATTACTCTAAATATTGTTTTTATGAATTTCATCATTGCTGTGATCTCTGAATCGTATGAGAAAGTTATGTAAAAGCTCATTTCTGAATCTTATAAAGTAAAAGTTCATATGATTGCCGAAAGAGAAGAAATTTTTTCATCAACGGAGATAAATAGAAAGGACTACTTTCCAAACTATATAGTTGTTAGAAGATAAATCAACAACGAAACAAACGATGCTGGAGAATGGCAAGGATTTATTAAGGATCTTAAGTAAACAATTAGAAAAACTGCATCTAAATCTAAAAGTGAAATAATTTCTACTCATTCATCAGAGCTCTCAAACCTTAAAAAATAAATTGATAGACTCCAGAAAGAGGATTTTGTTTAATTAAAGTAAGAGATAAAATAAGATATTGAATAGAAAGTTTAGGGAATTAGAGGTGATTTGGATGCCCTTAAAGAAAAAAATTAGGGTGATATGGATTTTTTAAAGGCTTCAATTTCCTAAATACTACAAAAGCTTAATAATTAATCAGCTGATATTTGATGATATTTATGATTGTAAGAAAAAAATGTTATTGATTTTTTTCTAAATTGAATATTCTAACACAATCTAGAATAATTAATTAAATAATCATTAAAATTCTACTGATTTTCTTTTTAAGGGGTTTTGGGGTTTTGGGG